TGTTGGGGGCCCAGTGCAGAGTGGGACGGTCAGCGTGTTGGGGGCCCAGTGCAGAGTGGGACGGTCAACGTGTTGGGGGCCCAGAGCAGAGTGGGACGGTCAGCGTGTTGGGGGCCCAGAGCGGGACGGTCAGCAGGCCCGGAGCAGGCTGGCGAGTCCGGATTGGAGCAGCTGGCAGTCCGGGGGGGCGTGGTGGTGGCAGCAAGGCCACATATGGAAAGCCCCCAGCGCGGAGCAACTGCAGACTATAGAAGGACTGTAACGTTTATCCTTTAAATGTTACTTCTTTATTTTCCTAACTGATACCTAATTTAGAACTGTAATGTAGAACTTCAGCTTTTTTTCTGTATTCCACTACTTTTTAGGCTAGGATTTGTATCCAGGTACTTTGTAGCTAAGATGGCGTGGAGTGTGGTGCCATTATACACTTTTCACTGCACCCCTCTACTTTTGCACCCGAGTACACATGACAATAAAACCTAATTCTAATTCTGAGGTTTATTAAGGGAGATCGGAATGGTAGGATGTAAAGACTCTGTCACCACTTGAGGGTCAAAATGGAGCACTTGCCTGTATCTGCAATACATATCTATGACCAACATCCCCATTACATAGCTAATAGCTTGTGGTCCTGCATGCCCATGCTAACCTTGTGCTTATTCAGAAGATTCTTGACATCTTCCTTGGACGTGACCAGGATCCTCTTGTCCAGTGACATCTTCTCTTGGCCTGTGTCAGTCAGATCGGCCAGATCCTGCAGAGCTTGTTCGTACTGCTCCCTCAGGGCCAGGCTCTGGTTTACGGAGCTGCGGCTGGATCCAATGATCATCGTCAACTCTTCATACATATCCTTTAAAGGGGATGGAAAGCTTCATGAAATGCAAAGGAACCAGTGCAATGACTGTCTATCAGCTCCGTTATGGAATACTCAACAGCTGCAGGAGTGCAGCTCACGAGGTTGATATGTGCATGCAGGGAAATACTTTATAATCCGTGTCCATAAACCAACTTCTGCATCAATGTTATGTGCGACCCACAGCCACATACTGCTGACAAAACCAACCAACTCAATACACAAAAAGCAGACACAACCAGCTAATGTAACACTTCTAAATGGAATCAGTCTGAGGAGAAGACAGTGACATGGGATTGTGTAAAACCTGAATTCACCACAGGTTTGATTTATCCTCATCCTCTGTCTAAACTCTCCGCTTCTGTGAGGAAAAGGGTTTCAGTCAATGGTGGAGCTGATCTTGGCAGTGATCTTTCCCAGAGAAATGTTTGCACTAAGAGTCTCCAGACCTGTACTTTAGAGAGGTCCAGTAGTATAGCCTGATCTGGCTGCAGCCTCTCTCCTCGCTCTTTCAAATTACCAATACGTGCCTCAAATTCCCTCAGGTCATCTTCTGCCTGCAAAATAGCCTGTGAACAAAAAGGGACAGATTTTACTGCAGCATCCAGACACGTTTATTATAACTCAGACATCTCAGGTCAGGGGGCAGCTGAGGAGTGTGGAGGGTCTTTTACATCCTTTTCATTGCACACAAACGATGAGTGAAAATGAGGCCAGCCTTCAATAGTTACACCTTGGTTCAGCCTTATTGGGAAAGTCTGATTAATTAACTTTGTTTGGATGGGTGGATAAGAAGTCATGATCCTATGCACTCATATGTGTTGTTTCAAAAGAGAGAGAGAGAGAGAATAGCGGAGGTTCACTAGGCTGATACCGGTAGGTTTGCCCAAGAGGACAGATCGATTTGATTGAGCCTGAATTCAACAGAGTGTATGTGGGGCCAAACAGCATTGTCTCAGAGTAACGGCGTCGCCCATTTAAGACAGAGATGAGGATCAATTTCTTCTTTCAGAGGGTAGTAAATCTGTGGAAGTCTTTACTGCAGAGGGCTGTTGAGACTGGGTCATTAAGTATATTCAAGACTGAGATGGATGGATTTTTAAAATCGGTAAGGGAAGGAATCGAGAGTTATGGAGAAAATGCAGCAAAGTGGAGTTGAGATTTATCAAATCAGCCATGATCTCACTGGCAGCTCAGATGACTCGATAGGCTGAATGGCCTACTTCTGCTCTTACATCTTATAGTCTTAACGTTTAGAGTATGATGTGGAGGTACTGGTGTTGGACTGGCATGGACAAAGTCAGAAGTCACACGAAACCAGATTATAGTCCAACAGGTCTATTTGACATCACAACCTTTTGGTGCACTGCCCCTTCGTCAAGTCAAGTGGGACCTTCACCTGACAAAGGAGTAACGCCCGGAAAGCTTGTGATATCAAGTAAATCTGTTGGACTAGAACCTGGCATCATGTGACTTTTGACGTTATAGTTTAGAGGGGATATGTTCAGCTTGAAAAGCGGATGCAGAGTGGTACCTCCTTCCTCGGCCTTTTGTGTTAAATCGGAGGCATTCTCCCAGTGTGTTGCCTCTTCAAAAAGTCAGCCTCTCCCAGTGCCCGTTTTCTGTCCCACATGAATCTCTGCCCTCTCCTTCCCCCATGACCCATCAGATTGGCCCCATTCAGATCTGGGTCCATCACTCAAAGCCACCTTCTTGACCTGCCTGCAGTACCAGCAGTGGCCACAAATTCTAGTGGGCGCTCTCTGGGCATTCAAGGAGATGGAGATGGAGGGCAGGTGAATAAAAAGTCATTGGCAGCAGTGGGTATGGGGGGAGGAGCATGCTAAGAGGATGTGTGCTCAATCCCAAAATATAAGCTAGGAACCCATCCCCAGAAAGAACATTTAGCCCATTGAGAACTGGATATTTGGAAAGGAAGGATATATAAACGATAAGCAGGAATAGGATTATGGGAGACGGCTTAAGTGGAAGTGCTATCACCAAAACGTGAGCCGGATGGCTTCCTTCTCTATTGCAAAGTCAGAAATTCCCAAATGCTTTCAAGAAAACAAAGTGCATTCATGATTAGAAGTTGTGCTCCTTCCCTCCGATATCTATCTTGAAATACTATCTAAAACCAGGAACAATTGAAGTTGTAGCTTCGTCCAAACCAGATACAAAACAGGAATGATTTTTACCTGCAGTTGCTCTGTGACCGTATGCTCCAAAGCCTCAGCCAGTTTTTGTAGGACAACGAATTTACTATCAGCCAGGGAGGTGATCAGCAGCTTCAGCTCAGTCTGCAAACAGCAAAGAACAACAAGGGGGTTTGAAAAGGGTCAAGATTCCACTTCCATGAGTTTTCATTTTCAGACACACATCAAGAACGGTGCAGTCAGTGCATCAAACTGACCTACAAACTCAACCATCAGTACAACTCAACCACTGCAGAGGCCTTAGTCCTGTACATCTGCTTCATACTGCCCAAATATCTCGCACTGCCAGTCCATTCACAAATTCACAATCCTGAACTCCAAGGGCTCATAGAACCATAAAATCCCTACAGTGTGAAAGCAGGCCATTCGGCCCATCGAGTCCACACCAACCCTCTGTAGAGCATCCCACCCAGACTCCCCCTCCCCCCACCCTATCCCTGTAATCCTGCATTTCCCATGGCTCACCCACCTAGCCTGCACACCCTTGAACATTATGGGCATTTTAGCATGGCCAATCCATCTAACCCGCACATCTTTGGACTGTGGGAGGACACCCATACAGAGTCCGGGAGAATGTGCAAACTCCACACACACAGTCATCCGAGAGTGGATTCGAACCCGGGTCCCTGGCGCTGTGAGGCAGCACTGCTAACTACTGAGCCATTGTGCCACCCAAGCTCAAGCTTTGTGGCTTTGTACCTTGAATCTCTGAGACAGATCCTAATTGCACAGTGTCAAACATGACTTATTTGGTATCAAACTTGCCTCCAAGGTTGAAGGCTTATGCTCCAGAGTCCTGAGCACGTACCTGAGATTGATTTTTGAGTGTCATGCTGAGGGAGTGCTGCATTGTCAGAAATACTCTGTAAAAGTTCCAGTGCTACTATTCAAAGTGCCAGGGGCTCTCATAGAATCCTTACAGTGCAGATACAGGCCATTTGGCCCATCGAGTCTGCACTGATCCTCTGAAGTGCATCACAACCAGACTCATCCCTCACCCTATCCCCATAACCCCATATTTTCCATGGCTAACCCACCTAGCCTACATATCCCTGGACACTATGGGCAATTTAGCATCGCCAATCCACCCTAACCTGCACAGCTTTGGACTGTGGGAGGAAACCGGAGCACCCAGAGGGAACCCACGCAGACACGGGGAGAACGTACAAACTCCACACAGTCACCCGAAGGTGGAATCGAACTTGAGTCCCTTGCATTGTGAGGTAGCAGTGCTAACCACTGAGCCACCATGCCACCCTCTATCCACATGTGGATATATATTTCTCAGCCAACATCACTGAAACAGATTGTCTAATCATTTTTTTCATTGCTTGTGGGGCATTAGTGTGGACAAAATGGCTGTTGCATTTCCTACAACAGACAACTAAAGCGAAGCAGTAATCTACTTTGGGGGTCTTCTGAGGACATGGAAGGCGCTACATAAATGCAATTTCTTTTCTCTTATATTCCAACAAAGCTGTGTATATTCTCTGTTGGTGATATTTCAATCGGATCTGTTACTGATCCACCAAATAACAGTGGTACTACAAACAGCCCCATCCACAGCTCCTGGCACACCAAGTTCGAATCAGGGAAACCAGAAAGTGGGGTTAAAGTATGAACAGAGTCGCTTGTCTGCACGAGTGAGGTTGTCATGGTTTGGTAGTCAAATATAGCCCGTAGTTCAGTCACTCTATTTCACTGGTGCTAGTCTGGCAGCCAAAGACAGTGTAAGCAAACAAGTATTTTGTAAAGCAGGAGAGTAGCTGGTTGTTGAGCATGGAAAGGGCAAAATTCAACATCTCCAGGAAAACCACCCTTACAGCAATTCCAAACCACACCATTCTCAGTTTCTTGTGAAAGAAACATCACTAAACAACCACCAGAGTAAGAATGCTAGGCCCTGGGACTCCCCCAGGTCCCTGTGCCTTGCCAGCCATCTCCCTAAATTATGGTTCGTTATCATCAATCTTTCCCACTTGCTACTCCTTTCCCTCCTCCTTCCCCTTGTGAAATACGGAAAAACCCTTTTTGTGCAAGTTTTAAGCGGTACGTGCAATTTGCAGCCCTGTGCAGACATGGATAACGTTTTTCATGCAGAGGGTGGTGCCTGTATGCAATGAGCTGGCAGAGGAAGTGGCAGAGACTGGTACAGTTACAAGTGCTTGATGAATGTCGCTGTTCTACAGTAACAACTTGCTTCATTTCAGACTGCTGTTCTCAGTCCTGGGCATAATTAGCCAGATCGTGATGGTCAACAACTTCTCCAGCTGCTTCTGCAATGCCAGATTGGACCTTCATTGGTCCATTAAACTTCTGTTCTCAATTACCCTCAGAACAGTGAAAATGATGCAGGTTGGTAACAGACCAGCTTGTCCAACCCAATGGGTAGGAAATCAGCGAAACTTTTCAGATACTTTTCAATATTCAGCATCACGAAGCAATTATGGTTCCTGATGTGTTTTAAGATCATAGGAGGAAGCCTACTTAATGTTCAATATGCAAATGGAACACAATTTAAATCAATTAAAGCACATATGGTAGAAATTTAACCTTTATTAAATTGTAATAGGTGTTAAAAATTTTCCTTGTGATCTAGCCATTATAAAGTCCCATCATGACTGACAGAACAGGAGCTACCCATGTAACTGATCGCTACTACTCTCTGTCATCAGTCCTAGCAATATGGTCTTACACTTTTATATATTGCTACTGTACGACAGGAAAACTCAGCTTGTAGCAACTCCACTTCCTGACGTGTTCCAAATCATCTTGCAGTTTGCTATTTGATTGGTCACTATCATTTGCAGTTAAAGTGTTATCTAAAAATACTCCTGCGAGTTTTTAGCTGTGTATGTGCAGATATGCACTTAACAGGTGCAATTTTATTCACACAGTGGGTGGTGCACGTATGGAATGAGCTGCCAGAGGAAATGGTGGAGGCTGGTACAGTTACAATTAAAAGGCATCTGGATGGATACATGAATAGGAAGGGGTTAGAGGGATAGGGGTCAAATACTGGCCATTGGGACTAGATTAATGTAGAATATCTGGTCAGCAGGGACAAGCTGGACCAAAAGGTCTGTTTCTGTGCTATATGACTCTACGTCTCCACAGTTCCAGAGACTTTTCAAATTTGGGAATAGAAAAGTACATCTGCAGCAGCATCCACTGAGAGTACACCAACCAGACTCCACCATAATTCTCCAGTGCTGTTAAGCAAAGCCAGAATAATCCTGAAGCCAGCAGCATTTACCTGGTACTCCATCAGCTGCTGCAGTTGGTCTTTGATTTTCTCACACTGCTGCTTCACCATTAACTCCAGTGCACAAAGCCTTTCCTGCAGGCAGCTCAGCGTTTCCTCGATGACATCCTGATTCGGGGGCTCAGGCAGAATATGGAAAAAGGCATCCTTCTTCTCGTTGACTTCTTCAATCACTTCCTCAATATCTTTCGCAAGAGCCTGGAGTAAACACAACAGCAGCTGACATCAAGCTGCACTGCACGCTAGACAGGCAAGTGATTCATTAGGAAACCCAAGGTCTTTATTCCACACTTCTCCCTGTGCCTGCACTCTGCCACCCTACAGTCTAGACACAAACAGAAAACCAGTCCCTCCTCTGCACTCTACAAACACACTGCCGATAATGCACTGTGAGGAGGTATCACCTCAAAGGTGCTACCATTAAATTTGGACGATTTCTTACCTCTTCGTGATACAAGTGTGTCTCAACCTTTTCTGGGAGGAAACTTTCACTGACCAGCAAGTGATCTTCAACTCCATCCAGCCAATGGGAGGTAACTGAAACTGTGTCGTAAAACTTTTGTTCCAGCGGGAGGCTTTGCTCCTCGGCATCTTTACCCTTCACAGAGAACGGGAGTGGAGCGGGGGAGGGAGAGAAAGAGAGAGAGAGAGAGAGAGAGGTGGGGAGGGAGAGAGAGGGAGGGGGAAGAAAGAGAGAGACAGAGAAGGAGAAAGAGAGGAAGAGAAAAAGAGACAGAGAGAAAGAGACAGAAAGTGAGAGGAGAGAAGGGGAGAAGGGGAGCGAGAGGAGAAAGAGAGAGAGAGAGAGAGAGAAAGAGAGAAAGAGAAAGAGAGTAAGTGATTCCGATCAATCTCTCTGCTTCCAAAGATTTGAGTAAAATGGAGAAAGAATGCATGCACTATACCTGAGGGGAAACTTCCCCGAAAGCCTGAGCCAGGCCATTCAGGAGGGATTTTGCTGTCTGCACAGACTTGTCCAATGTCTGAGCCTCCTCTTTGAATAAGACCATACCAGTCGACACCGCACCTGATAGACCGTAAACCTGCTAACAGTGAGCAGAGGAAGGCATGAATCACAGCTATTTCACAGATCATACTTCGGCAGGGACTGCATCCATACAAAGGCCACTCAATCAGTGAGCAGAATTAGCAGCTAGGTCAGTGCAATAGTTCGTAGTTGGGCAAATGCCCACCATAAATATTCCAATGGAGGACAGAGGAGGGTGACATTGCCATTGCTGGTATTGCTGCCCCCCTGGTACAAGATCAGGTCAAACACACTAATCTCCCTGCAGGAGCTATGACCACAGAGACCAAATGTGGGACAGAGTCGGCCCATTGTCCTCTGAGCTCAACTGTACAATTCCCCCCACCACCTGCGTCTGCTGCTGCCTTCAAACCCCACTCTAGAGGGTCCAACACACAGTCCTGGCTGAAACCTTAGTGCGGTACTGAGCACTGTCAGGGGCTACCACCTTCCAGACCAAACATTCACTCACGGCCACCTCAGGATGGGCATTAACACGTCTGTAGGAACACGAATAGGCCAATCAGCCCCTCTAGCCAGCCCTGCCATTCAACAGGATTAAGGCTGATTCAACATTCCTCTCGTCTATCTTCCTGACTTTTCCCCAGAAACCTCGTTACCCCCAACTCATCAGGAATCCTGAGGCACTACTCAAAGAGCAGGACCGTTCTCACCAGTGTCTGGGTCAACCTTTATCTGCAACCAGTGACGGTCTGGTCACAGCGACATTGGTGTTTCTGGGAGTTTGCTGTGTGTAAATTGGTTTGTGTCTACCACATTAATACAGCAACCAGAAGTGCAAATTACTTCACAGAATCCCTACAGTGTGGAAGCAGACCAGCTGGCCCTCGAGTCCACATTGACCATCCGAACAGCATCGTACCCAGGCTTTTCCCTGTACCCCTACCCTGTAACCCTCCATCTCCCATTGCTAACCCACCTAGCCTGCACATCCCCGGGACCTATGGAACAATTTAGCATGGCCAATCCACCTAATCCTCATATCTTTGGATTGTGGGAGGAAACCGGAGCACCCGGAGGAAATCCACACAGTCACCCAGGGGGTGGAAACGAACCCGGGTCCCTGGCACTGTGAGGCAGCAGTGCTAACCACTGAGCCACCTACAGCAAAGCTCTTTGGGATATCTTGGGGCTTAGAAAGGCACCACATACAGTGTTAATATAAAATCCCTCAGGCAGAGCTCTGTGTCGCTGTGGGACAGGAGCTGTGTGCCCCAGCAGTTACCTTTTGCTCCTGGTTTTGCTCCAGTGCGGCTTTGAACAGCTTCTGCTTGCTGCTGATCTCCTTCTGCAGATTCTGCCACTTGACTCTGAGTTGCTGAAGGGCGTACTGCTTCTCTCCTTCAAAACTGAGCTCCGGCGGTAAGGTTTCAGGTTCCGCTGTCTCACTGGCAAAGCCAAAATGATAAAAAAACCAAAACCGTAAACATCAGCAACATTGGCTCCACGATCACCAACACGACAGCAAAGTCATCAGGGGCAGATAAACACCCTGTTGTTACCTTCACCTGCCCAGGTTCCTACCCGTCATCCCAAAAGGTGCCAAACACATTGCTGAGTCACTGTGTCCCCATGTGCACCAGCTACTTTCCCCAAGCAGCTGCTGTGTGATCCTGTTCGAGTGAGTGTCAGCAGATTACTCTGCCACACTACGCACTGTCTCCAAGACCGACTGTGTCTGAGATAATCACTTACTGGGCTTCACAGAGTCAGCCAGCGTGGAAACAGACCCTTCAGCCCAACTCGAACATGTCGATTAGGTTTTGCTAAACTGAACTAGTCCCACTTGCCTGCATTTGGCCCATTTCTCTCTAAACCTTTCCTATCCATGCACCTGTTCAAATGCCTTTTAAATGCTGTAATTGCACCAGCTTCTACCAGTTTCTCTGTCAGCTCGTTCCATACACGCACTACCCTCTGTGTGAAAAAGTTGCCCCACAGGCCTCTTTTAAATCTTTCCCCTCTCACCCTAAACCTATGCCCTCTAGTTATGAACTCCCCTACCCTGGGGAAAAGAACTTGGCTGTTCACCTTATCTATACCCTTCACGATTTTATAAACCTCTAGAAGGTCACCCATCGGCCTCCTACAGTCCAGAGGAAAAAGTCCCAGCCTATCCATCCTCTCCTTATAACTCAAACCCTCCAGTCTCAGTAACATCCTAGCAAATCTTTTCTGCCCTCCTTTGCAGTTTAATAACATCCTTCCAATAGGGTTGAGTAGGTCAACGGTGTCACAAGAGTCAGCAGCAAGAACCCAAGGCTTTCATGACTCTATCGATGGGACGCTGAGGCCAAATGGAAAATGCTGACTATTGTCCTAGTCGAGATCACTCAGTACAAAGACAGATTCATCCTGGTGCAAGAGATAACAAACAGTGTGGAGCTGGAGGAACACAGCAGGCCAGGCAGCATCAGAGGAGCAGGAAAGCCGACGTTTCGGGTCAGGACCCTTCTTCTTCCTGGTGCACACATCTCACCAAGTTACAGACTCTTTGAGAGCCAAGACAGAATTCTGTCCTCTATAGGAGAATCACTAAAGTTGCCACTCCAGGCCTGGGTGCCTAGCATTCGAAGACGTGTGTGTATGTAACTGGCACATGCTGTGGACACACCGTTCTCATTCTCTCCGGTCATGAATACAGGGCAGAGTCCAACAGGTGTCCGTGTGAATCAAACCTGCAGTGGTCAGCACTCACACTGAAGGCTGGAGCTTACACAGCGGGCAAAGAGGGTTCACTTCAACAAACAGCCTCATCGAGACTGACAAGGTTCCTAAAAAAACCCCACCCTCTCCATCACCACCTTCTCTGGGGAGAGGCACCCAATGTTTAGACAAGGACGCCAGGTACTTACATGGCCTGTGCTTTCTGCTCTTCACTGACTGCCTCCACATTGCTCTGCTGGGTCATGATCTTCTCTCCACTGCTGGCCACTGACCGCAGCAGGTTCTTTTGCTCAGCCAGCTGCTGCTCCAACTCCTGGAGACACATTCAGAAAACAAATCTCAACTTCCAGCGACTTGTCACGCGTGAAGGAAACAGACAACACCACGTTACGGTCAGCCCTGGGTCCACCGCCACCAGGCACAGGGTCACCGCTGACCCATTAGTTCATCCTTCGCCAACTGAGCGGCTCAATCCCAGCATTCCATGCTCCTCCTCGGCTGACATTTAGGGACACCTCTGTTCTTATCCTGAACCCACACCCTCGGCACATCTTTCCTTCAGCTAATGGCTCACTTCTTTAACTCTTTTCAAACAGTGTCCTCTAGATGTGATAAGCAAGATGGCATGCATTGATCCATTTTAGTCGTCTTGAGAAGGTGATGGGGGAGGGGGCTGCCCTGTCTTTCCTGTGGATCACTCCAGCAGCTATTGGGAATTATCGTGCTATGGAAGCATGAGCATGAGATGGGGAAGGGGGTGGAATTGAGGGGGGACTCCCTCACCTCAAGAACATTCAAGAATTAGTTGGATTGTCACACAGGTCATCGTCATTAACTTCTGCTGCCAGTATACGAGTAACGATGTGGAGGTGCCGGTGTTGGACTGGGGTGGATATAGTCAAAAATCACACGACACCAGGTTATAGTCCAACAGGTCTATGTGAAATCACAAGGTTTCGGAGCATAGCCCCTTTGTCACATGCACCTGATGCTCTGAAAGCTTGTGATTTCAAATAAACCTGATCGGCTATAACCTAGTGTCGTGTAAGAAACACACACTGCTGGTCGCTAAGTCCCTTGTAACCACAATCCCACCATGACTTCCTAACATGGCACAATGCGTATCCTAAATACCTACAGCTCAGGTAATGCACCGTTATAATGATGTACATTAGTTCGATTCTACCTGAATAATAGGCAACCCTCCATAGTGAAACTCTTTTGGCATCAGACATGGCAAAGAGGAAATGCAGTCTTGCTTTGAAGGCTCTCCCCATTATGCTGGTCAATAGTTATGCACTAAATAGCCAACCCCTGTTCTACAGCATGTTTCTGTTTCAGGGAAATGTGAAAATTGGCTGTATTGATTTCTACGTGACAATGGTGACTACAGGTCAAAAGGCTACATGGCTGAATGTAAACAGCGTGCAGGGCTGGATGAAC